GCTGCTGGATCTGTCCAGGAGAACTGAAAATAAAACCAGGATAACTTTAGAAGTATAGCCCCATCTTAATCTTGCCTTGTTTTAAAAAATGTTATAAAAACTTGCATAGGATATCTATACTTCATCTGAATTATCCTTCAGTCTATCTAAGCGTCGATATGAATGAAGGGAGAATCTTTCCACTTACTGCAAATGGCTTTATTTCAGCTTACTGATAAACTAAGTTCTACTGTTTAAATTGTCATGTATTATTTTCTTTGATTTTCTACCAAGCCTTTGATGCAGTTAATCATTAATTCCTGCTTTAAAAAGCAGTTAATATTATGCTAAAATAATATACCTTAATAAACCAGTGTGGAGATAAAAAAATACATCTTGAAAATATAAATGAATGTAAATGGCAAAAACAGGTTAAAGAAATATTCAAAGCATAGAAATGCCCCCTAAGGACATATGGATTAAGTGTATTTAGAGATAAAAGTTTTTCTTCTTAAATGCAAAATGTCCATATTTAATGCACAGTTTTGGCATTAATATATCTCTGAAATCTTTTTTTCTTTTAGCATATGGAATTTTTTAGAGCCTTTATTTTCCAATTAATTCAAGTGGTAAATTAGATGGAGAATCATTTCAGTGCTGAATTGTCAATGTTAATCCTTTTACCAGATCAGCTCCACACACACATTAAAATAATCAAGCTCCTGTAAGAAGACTAGTAGCTCATCTCTATTCATTTATTCGCTTTTAAATGTTGAGTCAGCATTTTATTTGGTTTTGCTGTTACCTTTTTTTTTCTGGTGGCCTTGGACATGCACTAAAAGCTGTCAGGCAGACTGCATTAGACAAGGCTGCAGGCAGGGGACATATCTGGCTGTCTGACAGCCTGCATGTTTCTGGCTGGCTCTACAGAGTTGTCTTGTCTCCAGGCAGCCTCCTCAGCCTATCAGAGCTGTGAAATGCTGCTCTCTTTGTTTATATTCCTCTCCTCACCCAGCCATATGCTTTCTGTGTGATACGTAAGCAGTAATTTACAAGTGACTATATACTAATGTTTTTTAAAATATACTTGACTTTGCAATGTGGAATTGTGTTATTTTTTTATTTTTATTTTAGAACAAATGGAGAGGAAGATCTCCAGGTCTTAGGTTACCATAGAAACACACCATTTATGATCATTTTGCTAAGAAATAATAAGGGAAATTATGTTGATTGGAATAATTTTGCTAAAAATAAAAGTAGCAATGTTTTTTTATACTGATGATTAAAACCCCTAATTATAATGTTGGTAATATTGTCACACCACCAAAGCAGTAAATTTGGATGTTCCTGTCAGTTTCATGGCTGCATTTGTATGTGTGGAAAAACTTAATTGGCCTTGACAGTGATAAATATATGGATAAGAGAATTAGTCCCATGCAGTTGATGTCCTGGAAAACAGAGCTTGGTTACGGAGTCTCCTTCAGCAGGTTAAGGTGTTACCATCTATTTCTATACCCGTGTAAGGCAAGGCTAGACCATATGGCTTAAAATAAAAGATTAGATTTTTTTATTTCATACTAATTTGATGCATACACTATATTCTTTTTGTCTGTGTAGTTTTGTTAAAACAAATTTCATATCACAGAAATTACCTGCAAAATTGTTTTCAAAACTTTCATTCTAACCTTTTCAATTGACCTCAATGAATCAATTTAAAAAATTTCAGTTCAAGCTTAAGCTCCTGAGGAGAACCCACACATGCACAAATGAAAAATGTAAACTCGATGCAAAAAGGGCTCTACTGGAATTAAGACCTGAATACACCAGATAAAATTTAGCATTTGATCCAACAAAAAATCAGGTTATAATAGATGGGGCTGGTTCAGTTGCACACATTTTTCAGCAACCATGCTTTCATAGGACCTAGGATGTGAATCGGCACCAATGACATGAATCAGACAGATGGCAAAGTGAAATACTTTGTGGAAAATACAATGTAAAATCTCTGAATCACAATGCCAAACAGCCAAGTTCGCTCTTTTTGGAGATACACAGCGGGAATCTCAATAAACGGTGTGATTTATCCATGAAAGTAGCTCAGGATGACAGAAAACAGATGAAGAAAAAAAACGACAACCTTCAATGAGCTCAAAACCCCCCCCCAAAAAAGAAAAGGGAAATGATGCAGGACACCCATGACTTACCACCTTATAACCCCCCTTTATAAAATTGTAAAAAAAAAAATACTTTGTCAAACTTCATAAAGGACAACTATACTAAATGGGCTAAAGTAATAACAGGAATAACCGATACTAGGTGAGAATCCTTAATTGAATTGTAAAAACTCCTGCGTTGGTGTCAAAACAATCGGGATCATTTTTGTCTATGTAATGACTGTTAAAAATGTTCTTGATTATAGCTTTATTCCTTCCAAGCTTGTATCTTTGATAAATAACCCCGGTTATCTGCAAATAAACTTCAGAAATGTTGGAATGTAAACTCATGCAGATTGGTTAGATCAATTTAGGCTTCATTACATTTTTTTTGTGTATGTTAGGGGGAAAAAACCCTGAATATGGTCATGATTTAGTTGGACATCATTTAATTTAGTATCGGCTGAACAAAAAAATAGCATTGGCTTTGCTTCCTGGAAAGGAAGAAAGAGGAAGAAAGATGGGGTGGGAGAGAGAGAGAAAGAGCGAGGGACTATTCAGTGTAGGGGAAGGTGGGCTTCTGCAGACAATACAGTTTAGATTGGGAGACTCAGACGAGACATCATTTCCTAGTTGGAGAAAAAGGAGACAGACTGATGGTGGCTGGAAACAAAGAGAAGCAAGTTAGGCATATTGGAAACCAGGAAATCTGTATATTGGACAGCAAAGGCAAAACAGATCTTGGAGCGTTATCTTTAGAGGCACCTGGCTGCTTGTGTGCTGTTAGCATCGCGGTGCAGACTGTCGGTAGCCATGGCAGTGAGTACGTGGCAGGCTCTGTCTCCTCTGCAGTGGGCTCGATGGGGCTGGGACACGCTGCTGGGAGGGGCAGAGGAGATTCAAAGCCCGGGTTCTGATCCAGCTCTGGGGCTCATACAGCGTCTGTCATGGGGTTCTCGCCATGACAACATGATCAGGGCTGCTGGGGATGCAGTCAGATCTTGGTAAGATGTCTGGGGGTGCATGCCATAAAATTATTGATTTTGTTTTTCTTTTGTACCTTACTTCCTTCTATACTATACCATAATGTCATATACCGTGAGGTGGATTGGGGTAGTGAGTTCTAATGTTTCTGTTGTGATGGATACATGCGTCTCTAGTGTGTTGTTATTTCATACTCTCTGATTTTCCTTTTTTTTTATTTCTAGCAATAAAGTCCAGTATAATTTAAAAAAATAATCAATAACTTTAAAGTCATTAATGACATATAATAATCAGGGGCACTTTATCTGCGTATTTAAAAACAGATACTTTGCCTTTTTGAATCCAAATGACATATCTCCATGTTGTCTGTAGTAGCATTTTACTGAGAAAGCATAATTAATGGTATATAACACATGATTTTTGCTACATGTACTTGACTGTGTTGCAGCACCAGAGCAAAATAAAAGCCATAACAATTTTAGAATGAATAAAAAAATATTTAAGCTATTTAAAGAATATTATATTGCATACTGTATATTTGAGCCTTTACTCTAATAATAATAATCTGTCTAAATGAATTAAAATATTATGAAATGTTAAAATCTACCTTATTCTGAAAAATCAACATCCCTGCCTCTTTCTGTCTTGCTGCAAAGCTACAAGCATATGAAGCTTCCCCTCTGAAGTAAAGGAACACAGAAAATGGTAGTCCAGAAATGCCAACTTAGCCACATTTCATTTTATTTGGGGACTTTTTAGACACCTGTTGATTTTTTTTTTCTATCACAAAAAGTGTTTATAGACAAATCTAGGGACTTTACTCATTTTTTTTTTTTGGGCAAGTTTAGCTACGTCATGTGAAAGTGTGATTCCACCCTGGATTACAAAGCCGGATGCAAACATAATGCAAATATAGTTGGTTCTTTTTTTTTTTTTTTCTCCCTTTGCTCTAAACTAATTAGCTGATTTATACACAGCTTGAATCACTTATTCACCTTTTAATGAGTGTGCATCTGATTGCCGTCTTTGTGGTAAAATTATATGTATGCAGTATGAATTCAGGCAATCTACAAAAATTCATACATTTTGTTTTTAAAGTGAAGGTTTTTCTTCATTTTAACAACATTTACATGTTAAATATAAGAGTTTTCTTTAAGATACGCCTCACACCAATTTAAATCTGATTTAAAAGCAAGTTTATCTAATCTTCTCCCTTCAGTTATGTGACATCTTTACAATCATTACACAATGATTGGGGTTAGCATCTCATTCAAACTAAGGCTAGCGTTTATCCAAGATTTTTTTGCTCCCACTTTTTCCTTCCACCTAATTTTCCATTTATTTTGCTTTGATACTGGACTCGGTAAAGAAACCATTTCTGTAGCAATGACCTTTTGTGTTTTTTCCTCCTCCTGAAATGCATCAATTACTCTCCAAAGGTTGTTTAGGGCTTAACATTTTAACATAGCACTTTATGCTTTTTGTGGTATTGAATGAGGTAAAATTCTAAAACAGGTCAATAGAACGGACAAATTTTTACTCAATATGTGTGTAATAAACTTCAGTGTAATATTTAGTAAAAATTATGTAAAATCACATTTATTGGAAGTCAGCTGTACATTGTGTACCTGTTCAGTTCAAAATCCATTTTGAAATGGCAGCGCTCACATATAAAGCAGTGATTGTGCAGGCTCAAGAACATCTTTTCAGTCTTCCCTCTAAATGTTTTGCTTTCTTTGTTCTTAAATAATGATTAATTTAATTTGCTTGGATGCTTACCTGGAAGGAAAACCCTGCCCTATGTGAAACCCTTACTTGTTATTATTAAAATGGTCTGTGGAGATTTTACATCCCTTTTCACTCTGATTTTTTGTTTTGTTTTAGGAGCTCAGATTCTGATGGTGCTTTTGAAACTCCTGAATCTACAACCCCAGTGAAGGCCGTTACTCCTCCTGAACCACAAAGAGAGCAGCCAGAATCTGATGACAAAGGTACAGTATGAGTAATGTAGTGTGAGAATTACCTCAAATGCTGTATCTTAAAAAAGGTTGTAGCACCATCTAGTGGAGGGAAACTGAATTGTACTTCAGAGACATGATTGGCTCTCAGTAAAATGAATCTCAGGACTCTTTATAAAAACATTTTATATACAATTAGTGTGAAGAAATTGATTGTTATGCAATCCTGTCTCTTGAGGTGCTTGACTTTCCCTTTTAGTTGTTCAAAAAGAGTATGATTTGTAAACATAAATGATGAAAATGTGTATAATGACTGGCTACAATTCCTTAAAAAGTATTTATGACCCATGACACATTAGATTTTTTTGGGGAATTCTATTCAAATTTTATGAGACAGAAATCAATATATGTGGGCGCATATTTACATTATTTGTTTAGAGTGGTCTTTAAACTGTTAAACAAAGAAATAGTTTAGGTTTTCAACTCTTCTTTACCTCCCTTTATTATTCCCCTTTAATATAATTTCTTCTATGTGTTTGCCTTCGTTATGTACAGCACTTGAAATATGTTGTTACTAAAATGTTTCAAATAAATAAACTTGCCTTATCATAAAATGAGGTAACGAACCATACCATGTTTTGCAGGTGTAAACGGCTCTAAAGGCGATCTTACTTCGGACCTCACTGCAAGAGATGCTCTGTGTCACTCCCCATCCATTGTTTTTGATGAGAACAAACCCATTGCTGCCAGTGGGACATATAACTTTGATTTTTTCGCTGCTGAGCCGACGAGCCACACTCTGACTCGCTCTCTTAGCCTCCAGAGTGGAGAACTTGATTGCTCGGGTCTAGTGGAAGGAGCAGCATCAGGAGCTTTCCGTCAACATTCGGAGTCTTTTAGCGTAGGCACCGAGAACACCTCAGGAAAACTCCGGAGACCTAAGAAAGTCAGTCCTGGTTCGGTAAAGAAGAAGCCCCTTCTTAGACAAAACTCCAACCCTGACAGTTCAAAGCCAGCCTCATCCAGTAGCACCCCAGAAACTACAAAGCGAACAAAGTCACGGACTGCTAGCCCTCTTCTGACTCAGGAGGATCCAGAGGTTTGTTCTGCAACGCCAAGTCCTGCAGGAACTCTCAGGAGAACCAGAAAGAGCCGTGTTGAAACTCCACCTCCACTTCTGGAAGAAACTATTCAGACCTGCCAAGAGCAGAGCAAAGGGAAAGACCCTGTGTTACCCTTGTGTCAGGAGGAAGCCCCTCCTGTAGAGACTGTAGCAGACAAAGAAAACTCTCCAATCCCGCCTAGCGCCTCATACAAATGGGATCCTGACAACTTTGAGAACATCGACCCCTTTAACACTGGGGGTAGTAAAATAGCCAATTCTCCTGTTCTGGGTCGTAAGGGTCCTATTTGTGGCCCTGCATCCAGTCCTCCTCAGAGTCCCGCTGTGGTTGCAGAACCACATTGCCGAACTGCCACAGCCTCTGTTGAAGAGCTAACTACTAATCCTGAGGAGCAACCCATTTTATCGAAGCGTCAGCCAGTCAGACTGGAGTTTGATTACTCTGAGGAGAGCGGTGAGGCGTCACAGCAAGCCTCTCCTCCACCTAAGAAAGTTGGTAAGAAGCCTCCCGCCAAGATGCTGTCAAGGAAACCAAAGCTGGGGCTAAAAAAAGCCCATCCAGTACAGGTGGAGCAACTGGACAACAACACCTCTGCAAACCACAACGGATCGGATGAAATCCCTATTCCCAAAGTGTCATACAACATTGAACCAGACAAGTGGGAAGATCCAAACTTCAATCCATTTTCTTCAAAGAAAAGTATCTCCAACTCCCCCAAATCGTCCAGGCATCCATATACCTTTGATCCTAACACTGATGAGTCCTCAAACCCCTTTAAATCCTCCAACAAAATGGCCTGCTCCCCTCCCAGAGTGTCGGCCCCCTTGGAAATGTCATCAAATGACTATGATAACGAAAACGACAACGACAACATTGGGGAATTGGAGGACCAAAACCAGAACAAACCAGCTAAGAAGAAGAGAACTCCCCTAAAATCGTAAGTTCATGTTGTCATCTTAAGGCTGTTGAACAGTGCACAGTCCTGGTTTGTTATGCCAGTGTCTTCTGTCTGTCTGTCTGTCTGTCACCTGTGTTTGTGTATTCTCATATATCACAGGAAGTCCAGGGGTGTGTCCTCTCTTTGTTGTCTGTTGTAAGTAGAGGGACAAAACAGCCATCCTCCCTTTCTGACCCTAAAATCCATTTTGACTCCTTATAAAAACGCAGCATGTTGTCCCCCGTCCCATTAACAGAGAACTCATCATCCTTTGGGCCTACTCTCAAACTAATGCATTCAAACTTTAAGTTAAACCAAGTCAAACTGGGGGAGATGTGATTTCATTGATGTTCCTTATTGCTTAGTGTCAGATAAAAACGTTATTTATAGACCTGAACCCTATCATGCATGAAAGAACGTATGGTCATATGATCTTTAATCAGAAAAAGCTTTTAACCCAAATTCAGCTGCGGTTCAAATTCTACAATGTTGGAATGGTTTGAACTAAACTATTCTAATGAAATCACATCAAATAAAAAAATAATTTGATAATAATTTGTTGACTCAAAGCGTTGGGTTTTGGTTTTAGTTCTCCTAAGTGTCCTACAGGTGATATTTAAATCAGCAGCAGATTCCTATGAAAAAAAGAAGAGCAGAGTAAGACATCTTCATAAATACTGCAAGTCAAGAGGTGGTTTCAAATGTTTTTATTTGTAAAAATACTAATTGGGTGACTTTATATTTCAAATGCACTACAAAAGTCTTACAAAAATATATTAGTGATGAGATAATTAATGATTATTATTTTAAAAGGGCTTTGCCACCTCGAAAACATACTATTTATCGGATACTTTTACCATTTCCCACTGTGTTAATCAAACTAAAATTAGATATAATGAAAATCATTAATAAATTGATTTAAGGAGGAATAATAAATCTGTAGATTTTGATAAATACTTCAGCATATTTTAATTTGAAATTTGAATCAAAGAACATGTTAATACATACATTTGAAAAGGCTTACATCTAACAATTAAGATGCATTAACATCTGTGTAACTAACTGCTTAGCTATATTAAAAGGTGTATGTCTCTAGGAGTATGAAGAACATTTTAATATTTTAAACTCTGATTCACACAAATTGTAATTTAGACCCAATCAATGTTAATGTTTTTCATGTATTGACGATGTCATCCATCGATGTGCAATGAGGCGCCTTCGAGCCGCAGTTGAAGGAAATATTTCTCCAGTAAATTGGACTGAATTTCGACCATAGCTGCTGGATTTAAGATTAAGTTTCCCCGGGTTAATCCTGGATTCTAATTATTGCTGTTTTATTGTTTTTTTTCCATCAGTAATACTTTCAGAGTCAAGAGATCTCCAAAGAAATCCCCAATGTCTGACACATCCCAGGTGTGTATATTTAGCTTATATCTAGAGAGATTTCTTATTTTTCAAATGAATCCACATTAAGAAGATCACTCTGCTCTTTTTACGCACAGGATCCCACATCTGCGGATGAATCTCCTTCTCTTCACCAACAGGATGATCACGCCACAGACGAGGAGAAGCTGGCCTCCTCCACCAGTCATAAGTGGGCGGCCCACCATGACATGGACCAGGATTTAAACACTGACCACCCAGACTTTCCCCAGCCCTGCGACGTTACGACTTTCGTAAATGAGAACAGTCTTCCTCAGGAGAATCCAGGTTTGGCATGACTATCTGACTTTTTGTCCCCATCCTATGTTCATGCAACATCAAAGTATACCGCGCCAATGCAGCTGTTCAGTGAAATTCAAAGCTTTTGTTTGGATTCATTTTGTTGTAAAACAGTTGGTTGCTTTGTTTTTTCATCCATGGAGCAGTTTATTGACTTCTATTTGAAAAATAACTAAAAGGGCTGGCCCAGTTCTCTACTGCCCTCTGATCACCACAGGACCCACCTCTTCCCAGAGGCTGTTTGGCTCAACCCATCTGGGTCATGGATGAAACAGAGTGCAGACATCATCGGCTCAACCTCTGATCCCATCAGACCGAAGCACTGATCACTGTGGTTTTCATTCTTTACTCTGGTTATAACACTTGTTTTTTTTTTCTCTTTCTGTTTTGCTCTGTCTCAGTCCAGGACTATGAAATCGAGTACATGGAGAAGATTGGCTCTTCTTCCCCAGTAAGTATTTTTCTGACATAGTCACGGATATCACCTTAATGAAACTGGAAACTGCTTATATTGCAGAAATTACTTTATTCTTTTTGTATGTATTTGTGTTTAAAGATGTACAACTCATATTTTGCGGTCGTTTTTCCAATTTATTTAAATGTTTCACGAAGTTAAACAAAAAATTCTTATTCAATAGATTAGAAAATAAGTTGTGATGAGGCACATTTGTCAGATTAAAAATACTCATGTCACCTTTGGCCAGTATTGGTCATTTGTAAGCATACAGGTATTGGACTGATAAGTAAACCTGGGCTGATATTAGCGACCAGTGTTTATTCCATTTAATTTATTCCCAGTTAATGTCTGTTTAAGGAGACGGAGAGGAGGGAGGAGGTGGTCATGGGGTTTTTGTTTGTTTATGTGACAGTGACTGATGCAGCTCAGGACAGTGCGTGTTAAACTGAAGCAGAGAAGCACTGTGGTCGGTTTTTCAGCGGGAACTTATGATCATTTTAATAGATTGTCATCATATTAAACAGAAATAAAGGTTAAAAAATGTTTTAGCTTTATTATTTTAATATTATTGTTGTTTGTTATTTGCTAAATATTTAGCAGGTATTCCCGCTCTCACCTACTGAGATTCTAATGACTAAAGAGAAATATAGGGACATCATCTAGTTGAAAAAGAAGGAATGAAAAAACGTGGTGTAGAAATAAAAAAGACATAGAAGTGTTACTACCATTGCATGGTCTTAGCTTCGTTTTTTTTTTTTTCTTTTGATCAAGTCAGTGTGAGCCTATCAAGCTAAAATTGGTAAATTGGAGCCAGCAGCTAATTTCTGTTTGCATCCCTAATGGTTATGAGTCACTTCAGTCTTCAGCATTTTCTTGTTAATTGTGTCTTTCAGCCACTGTCTATCAAAAAGCCCTCTCTGTACTTGAACTTGGATTCAGTATCTGACAGTTTAACCCAAACTACAAATGGACATGTATCTGAGCCCAGTTCCCCCTGCACTGGGTAAAGTATACATTACATTACACGCTTTAACATTGCTATTTATGGACTGTTTCTTCTCAGCATTGCAAAATAAATGTTATGACTATACATTTAACTTGAACACTAACTTTCATGATCTTTTTGTGTATATTTGCAAAATGCTTTATTCCTTTTGGTTGTTTATCCAGTGTCCTCTGTACTTATTAGTTTGACTAGTAAAGTTTTGTTCAAAAACCTATTAAAAACATGTATTTAACCAGGTTTGCTGTTCTTCCATTACAGTATTTATTAAAGATTATAATAAGGAAATCTGGCTAACCAATTGAAACATATGATATTGGTCATATATATTATTATACAATTGTGTGATCATTATATTTTTTTGTTGCAAATTCATATTCTTAAGTCTTGGCCTCAATAATCTCGATTGTGGAATAATGCATCATAGCTGGTTAACCAAACTATTCATTATCACCTTTATCTAACATATCGATATTTTCTGGTTCCCTACCTGCATCTTTTAAACAGACTTCAGCATGATTTTCTCATTCCATGCAGGAGTTTTGAGGAAATGGAAGCCAAGATATCCGCCGGCATGAAGACGCCAGTTTTGAGTCCGAGGCCCGGTCCAGAGGGCTATGCTGTGGACAAGGGCAGGAAGAGAGAGAGTGAAGTGCTCAGTCGAACCCAGAGCATAGAGAGGGAGGAACAGGTGAGATTATGGGTTTTCTAAAAACGTTTAGCTGGCATTAATCACATTTATTGCAAAGAATTAGTTGACTCTCATTTACCTGTCTACTCATCGCCATGTATGGGTTTTACAGGTGCACCTCAATAGATTATAATGTCATTTATAACTGAGTTTTATTCATTAACATACGTAAGCCAAAAAGGTTGCTGAATGTTTAGAGTGCTGTATCCAAACACATTCATGAAAAGTTGAGTGAAAGGAAAAAATATAGGATATGCACAAGAATTTGCACTTTTTCTTAAAGCTGGATGGTCCTTACGTGTCTTTCTGCTTAAAGCTGCAAAGTAGATTTTGTATTTCATCTTTATTAGATTCATTTAAAAACTTAACCTATTACTAAGTATATACGTATAAATATAGGCTTATTTTTAGTGGGCTAACATTTGTTTTTGGTTTGAGATTGAATTACATGAATGCAGCAGTATAGTTAACAGTCAGCTTCTTTGGGAATTCACTTTTTGGCTTACTGTAATTTCTGTGTTTAAATCAGATTATTAATTAGACTTTTTTAATAGTCCGATCTTTTTTAGAAATTGGATTTTAGCGTTTGGTTTAAGATACTTTTATTAAGATTACATTCATAAAAAAATGTAATAACTTCTCAGTCATATTCTAATTTGTTGAGATGCACCTGCATGTCACTTTTTTAAGTTACATTTTACATCACGTTGTTTAGTCAGAATCGTGGATGACGATGCAGACCTTTATCCCAGAAGATGATTCATAGGGATTTGACAAAAAGGAACTCCATCCAACTCTTTTTCCCAGCTTTTGTTCAGAAATTAGACTCCCAATTCTGCCTCTCAAACACTCAGCGCTTGCTTTGCTGTCCTGCCCCCTCCCTCCTCCCTCCTCCCCACATCTCCTGGTGCCCCTGTAGCCCTCTAGCCAGGGCCCTGTGGAGGCCCTCCCTGCAGCCCCAGCCCAGGCCATGCCCCTGTTGTTAGACAGGCTGTCTGAGTGTGAGGATCCCCTGCAGTACCTGGAGCCTGACCTGGCTGAGACCAACCCAACTGCATTCGCTCAAAAACTACAGGTGTGTTACCCCACCTTGATGAACCTCGAAGGTCCTGGCTCTGGGGAGGAAATGTGACTTTGTGTGTTTTTGTTGCCACATCGCTCCCATTGTGTAAACATATTTCATTCCTTTAATGTGTTTATGTTCCCTCCTTCCCGGTATTTGGCTTTCTGCGTGGGGTAGAATAATTATTGGTAAGATGTAGACAGCAGCAAATGTGTGACCTCAATTCAAGTCTTTGTATGTTTCCCTTTGCTCTCTTTGACCCTCCTCCCACACCCCCCTGATATTTGGCCCCCTCTGTGTGCGGCCAAGGAGGAGCTGGTGCTTGCTGCCCTGAGGTTAGAGGCTCTGCAAGTAGCCCAAAGCATCTCCCAGTGCCCCTCCCTCTCCACTGTATCCCCCCAGGTACTGCGCTGAGTCAGCCTGCACCTGCTGTATTCAGTGTGTGTGGGTGAGCGTGTTTGCTGCAGAAAACAGACATTTAGGCTGAGTGATGAGGGAAAACCAGGTGTTGGATAAAGTGGGTTATTGTGGACTGTGGTGTGTGCATGGCTGTGTCTCGGCTTGCCGATCGGTCCCTTCGGCATGGCGGCTGTGCTGCTGTATCCACAATCCTGGTGCAACCCTGCATCACCATAGGTAATATCACTCAGGGTGATTAACGCGTACAACTCCCACCTTTACTGGCAGTGGGCTCCTCCAGGTTAATCCAAAATCCAGTGCCTTCTTAGTCCCTTGCATTGTTTTTGCTTGTTGCCCGTTCCTGAGAGGCTTACATCAGCATGAATGTGACTGGGGATGTAACGAGATCACCTAAAATCTGCAGCTGCAGAGTTATGTGGCTGCAACTCTCCCTGGTGTGTTTTATAATCTTTAATTTAAAATCTCCAGTCACATTTGAGGTTCCTTTCCTTTTTTTTCTTCTTTTCCAAAACTAACAGCTTAAAATTCAAAACTCTTTACACATGTTGAGGTTTATTACACAATATTTTACATCTGAAAACTTTGAATTTGTTTATATGTATTTTATTTGACCAACTCAAAGTAGTCCTTAGCTATGAGGTGGAAAATTCTTCATTGTTTTCATATTTTTGTGAAATTTGCTGTCTGAAAAATGTGGTGAGTATTTTTTTTTTTCCAAGCGACCCCCTATGGTCTTACTTCTTAAAACCAAGTTGTAACAGTGAAAGCTGCAAGTCTTTGGGGTCTGTGTCTTCTGGTTGGAAAGTGAGAATCTGAAAAGCAAATGCAGCCTTTAACAGGTCTACTTTTGCAAAAAAAAAAAAGACCTAAAAACAACCAAATATCCTTGAAGTAACTGTATTTGCCCTTAATTTTTGCAAGTACATGAAATGATCTGCTAATGGAGTATATTGCCCTAAAATAATTACCATACACTCTTCACTCGATATAAGATCATAAAATAGTTGGGTATTTTGCATTTAAAATAGCAAGAAAACCAAACAATTATTCCACTGACAGATTACTTACCTTACTTGCCCAAATTAAGAAAAAATATTCTTATATAAAAACATAACCTACTTTATTTACATTTTGCAGTAGCTTCCCATCAACTCTGAACCCTGCCTCTATATATAAAAGCATATCCACAGTGTGATGTGGTCGCCGCCATGTTTCACTGTGTGCATGGTGTGTTTAGGTGCAATTTCAGCTTTTCAGCACCCAAAGTCTTTTCCGCTTTGCAATATTGCTCCACTTTGTGACCCATCACATGAAATTCACATGAAATACATTGTAGTTGTAATGCAGCAAAATGTAAAATATTCTGGCAGTATGTATGGGTCAATTTTTCTTATTAAAGCCACATAACATAATAAAAAAAAATGTTAAGATAAATAGCAGCAATCTGTTTAGCTTAAAGTTGAGTCGAGCTAGAAGGTTTCTAAAACTTGGGGGAAAAGACAGTTGAAAGAGTCGAGGAAGTCCAGCTGCTTCCCAGTCTTGTCCCTTAAGACTTATGTTTGTGCTCCACACATTTCACAGTCTCGACTCAAGAAACCCAGCTCACGGAGGTGGAATATCAACGGTTCCCCCATACTCAAAGTAAGAGTAACACGACAGCCCTGTGACCTATTCCTACCCACCTAGAGTGCAGTCCAAGTATTTGGTCAAGAACATAGTCTTTGTTCTATTTGCCCAGTTCCACGTCACGTTGGATCTAAAGATATGGCCGTTGTTACATCTTTATTTTAACGTAATCTTTTCAATAGAGCTTAAACTACAGAGCTCTAACCGTAAATCTGGTCCAAATACATACAGACTGCACTGCATACTTGAGCCCATGTAGGTCATAGATATCTCAGAACTGATCAGGCAAGTATATCATTGATGCATCTCTAATATCCCCCAAGATTAATGTTTTACCTGCTTTTATGCTCGTGTCTCTGGTTTACATCTAGAACACACTATTGTTGTGCTCATGTTAAAATCATAAGGACATTTGCATCTGCTATAGTTTTGTGACCATGACTTAGGCAGTTCATTTGGGGATGAAAATTTTTATAAATCATTCAAAATAAAGCCTTGAGTTGCAATAACTAGAATCTATTTCATTACAGGACCATCTGTTTATATTTTCCCTTTGATTAATTAGATGCATTAGTGCTTGAGGAAGATGCAACACTTGGTTCCCTTTCTGCGTATTAGTAGACCTTCCCGTTCTCTGCAAGCCCAGATTGTTTTAATACAGCCTCCGTTTATCCAGCTCTTCTGATGATGACTATATCCTTTTCATCCAGGGTAAAATTCTAAGGTCAAAAACTGATACTGAGAAAAAAGTTGAGGTATTTATGTGCCATAGCCTTATAGACACATGGACATTAATATTGTATAAAGATACTAACAGTAATGCCTCTGCTGCCCAATCCATATCCCTGATCTTCCATCTCCTGTTTATCTGCTGCTGCCCTCCTTCTTGTTTTGCTTCTGCAAGCAGCAGGCGCTCATCATCGCCCAGCTGGGACCAGCTTCAGCCAATTAGCAATTACTATGGCAATGAAGGCTGTTTCATCCAATCATTTATTTGCCACCAAGTCTTCAGAAACATCACTATGTACCCCGCAGGATTCACCACCGGTTTATGCTGTGCAGAGCAGTTTTGTGCCGTTCCATGCTGCCTTGCAGTTGTGGTTCAGGAATCCTGTTGGGCATGTGTGCGTAAACACCTGGATAAGAGCGTGTCCATCCTGTAACTGTGTCTGGTTTTTAACTTGCCATGTTTTCCTTCCTTTCCCTGCTCTCCTTTGCTTCCTGGAAGCAGCAGCGGGACATGTTGTCTTCTGCAGAGAGCTCCATACCCAAGAGCTCACTATATGCCAAGAAGACCATCGGCAGCAGCTACATGGAAGGAGACAGTCCTCATCTGCCAAGAGATCTTGACCAGTCGTTGGATATTGCACGAGAGGAGGTTCCCTTCAATTCCTTTTTAATCATTGAGTGATTGCAGTTAGGTTTAATCTGTTCAATATTTAGAGCTATACTTATCAGCATTCACACCTTATTTATAGATTGTGTCAAAGGAGAAGGAGGTACTGGAGTGGCAAAGGAAGTATGAGGAAAGTCGGCAGGAGGTGGTGGAGATGAGGTAAGAAAAAAAAAAACTTGAGTTATTAATTCCACCACAGTTACAGATGGTAGCAGTTGTTCAGGTTCAGGAACTGTGCAGAAATGCTTGGGATTATCTTCTTTTCAATCATTTAATTGGTTTATGTGAAACTGTCAAACAGGAACATGTTTAGGTCCAGAGTGGAGGGCCAGTTAAAGAAGGACTAAGGTCTAACAATCAGCACAAAGAACAGATAGGAGTTTTTTTTTTTTTTAAGGCAGAACAAAAATGATAAACAAATTATTGCTTTAGATAATATTCACCAATATACACCTCTCACCTCACCTATAGAGCACAGTCTGCAAGCAGCTATATGTCCAGATACAGAAAATTGGTAGTAAGCAGGACTGAAGCTCCTTGTTGGTCAGCAGATGGTTGGTCTGACTGGAGCAGGGTCACTTAGCTGGGATAAGAAAGAGCTTACCTCCTTTAACTGATTGGGCTCTGGATAAGGAGGAGCTAAGAGACTAAGAGGGAGGTGAGGCTAATTAATCCTCTTAGCCCGTACAACCTGTGTTACTGGAATAAAGTCAATCAGGGTCCTCCTATCGTAAATTTAAAAAAGCCAGAAAACTATCCAATGTAGACACATCACAGGATCATCTTTTTGGATGTTTACTTTAAGTTATAAATGTTGTGATTGGATTGGACCAAGGCTTCCTAACTCTGTACTCCTGTTTGCAGCCGTTTGATGCAGCTTTTTGTTGCTAGGTAACACAGTTTTGTACATTTGCACACGTCAGCGTTTACTTCATTTGTTCTCTTAAGTTTTACTCTTAATTCAATAAGTACACTAAAAAGGAAGCTTTGACTATTTAGAGTTCAAATGTAATCAAAGACATAGAGAGTGTGAAGTTGCATTTATAGGGGAGACAGTGGCTGAGTAGGTAGGGGTTCTTCCTGCCCGTTCTAGCCTCCGTTTCTCTCAGTTGTAGTGTTCTCAAAAAAGACACTTCACCTGCCTTTATTAAATCATATTTTGACAGACAACAGGGCTGAAATCTGTACCAAATTTGAATTATCTTTAGCAACACCCTTCTCTGTCTCGGTGTGCAGGGGGCAATTATTGCATACAGTACACCAAAAGGCAAAGGTAACTGGGGACATTGTCATGGCATTTCTCTTATGAAAAATATTAAAAGATAACTTTATTGTTACATGTTTTCATTAAGTGTCAGAGGAGGGCTTATTGGAATACAATAAAGTGGTAATAATAATAATCCAACCCAAAGGGCACCTGTGGGCAGGGAGCTAAACTGCCCCCATTATTACATGCCTTTCACCGTTTTATGAGTTTATAGTCTTGGCAGTATTATTATTGCACACACTAATATTGATTTCTTTCTTTTTTGCAGGAGGATTGTTGCTGAATATGAGAAGACTATTGCTCAGATGATAGGTAAGTGTTCCATTTCTTCACATGATCTAATTGTTGATTCAAGCATAAAACATTTTAAAACAAATCAAGGAATGTTAATCAAACTACTGCTTATTTGCATTGCATTATCTTATTATTAAAGCCTATATATGTAACACCACAGCCTCTTTTTTTACTGATATCATATTAAGTCAGCTCCATTGTCACTTGCTCCAGTGGAGCTATATTATAAGATGACAAAACATTCAAACTATCATACTTTGTGACTATTATGTAATTATAGGACTTACAAAGATGACATCACATGAGAGATTATGTTTTACTTTTTTAGAACAAGGACAAAATGAATATGAATGTGACATTTTAAGCTATGAGTCACATCATATATAAGCCTTTAGAAGTGTTAAGCTATTACATTAACAGCCATCTCTGTGTTTAACGCTTGATTAGGAGGCAATGTTGCTCTTTAATTTAATTACCAGGTTTACAAAGGGCTACCAGGAGGTCCAAATCTTTTTTGACAACTTTTGTCATTTTGTACACAGAGTGTATACTAAGAAAAATGTTAAATAAATTGGCAAATTTAGTACTTTCTGAAGACTTTACTAAATGATAGTACCGGTATTCCAGAAAGTGCAGCACTGATCAAATGTAAACAGTGTGGGAGAAAAAAAATGAGACTGAAAATACTCTACTCTGGTTAGCCTTTATGCACCCTCCAACATAGATCCTGATGTGAGCCGTAAATAAAACCCTCACAATATTCCATCAATGGCAGCCTTTCTAAACTTTTAAATGTCACTATTTGCTCACTTTGCACAATTCCTGCTTTCACCTACATCCTCCTTTTGCCACATTAAGACATTCCTAAAGTTTGGCTGGTGCTGCAGTCTAATTTAATGCCTTGCCCTTCTCAGATCACACTCACTTAAAGGCCAGAGTCTCTCTGTTCATGCCCAGCACTTGGCTCTCTCACATGTCTTGACCCTACTGGCTTGACCTAACACAATCCCTTCTTTTCTGTTCTGCTCTCATCGTTGCCACTTACTATTTGATACCCTGACAGGCATGCCAGGTGAGTAACGCAGAGTCGCGCTTCGCTCGTTTGTGTCTGCTCGCGTCTCATCTGTCTGTCAGAAAGGAGCAGGCGTGTTCCCTTTCTTCATATCATCTAGTGGCTTTTGTTTGTCCATTTTGCTGTATTTCACGCTGTATGATAAGAGTATGAACAATTTTGTAAATAAGAATAGAATTCTTGGAAGTGCTTCAAAGCTAAATCCACTCAAACATCTTTACTTTTACCCAAAGGTAACTGACTTGAAGTTCATTGCCATCTCATTGTGACATTTTGTTTGCATGCAATAAAGAATATTGAATTTCTGAATTACCATAGATAAATCATTTTACCCCATCTGTCGACTCAGTACCTGATTAAAAAGGTGTATACTTGAATGTATGTTGTAACTTCATGGGAAACTTTACCTTCTACTTCAGCATCTTTAGCAGATTAAGACATGATATTTGAAATGTGTGTGTCCTACCACCAGAGGATGACCAAAAGGAGAAGTCTCTGTCCCATCACACCATCCAGCAGTTGATCATAGAGAAGGACCAGGCCTTGGCCGACCTTAACTCAGTGGAGAAGTCCTTGGCTGACCTCTTCCGCCGTTATGAGAAGATGAAAGATGTGCTAGAAGGTTTTCGCAAGGTGTCACACAAATTATTTAAAATATTTTTTTAAGTAAATTGCTTTTTTAATATAATACAAAACTTATTCAGAACCCAGCACAGTGATGGTTGTGATTAAATAAGTTCAGGGTGAAGTTATCCTATTAAGATTTAAGATAATTTATTTTTAAATTAGTTGAAGTCGTAAAACGGTTATTGCAGTTTAATGATGGAGGTATTTTATCTTAGAATGAAGAAGTACTGAAGAAATGTGCTCAGGAGTATCTGTCCAGAGTTCGGAAGGAGGAACAGCGATATCAGGCTTTGAAGATCCACGCTGAAGAAAAACTAGACAAGTGGGTATAAACAAACTGATGACATAGTAGGGTTTCTTTTTTCCCTAAACCAGATTAAGCTATAGGTGTCCATTTAACATAAGATAAACAAATTAGATTTTTTTTTTTATAGATTCATTACATTTCTTGAATTTCTAGACTGATATTCGTCCTTATACCAGTACTACAGTTTAACTATGTTTCGACTGTCATTCTGCAGGGCCAATTCAGAGATAGCACAGGTCCGATCCAAGGCAAAGCAGGAGCAGGCTGCCCACCAAGCGAGTCTAAGGAAGGAGCAGATGAAGGTGGACTCTTTGGAGCGCACTTTGGAGCAAAAGGTCAGTGGTGCAATATAAAAACCATATAAGGAAGAAAATACTTGAAAGAACTATTTCTATAAACTAGAAACCGTTACTGTACTTACTCTCCTTTATAAAAAAGTTAAAATCTGTCAAAAAGCATTTTTGAAAATCTTTTTTTTCAGGTTTAAACATGGACAAGACCATTCAAATAAATAAACCTGCTTTAATCCAAGCCATTCTATTATTACTCTGTGTTTAAGGTCATTACGCCGTCTAAAGATGAAGTTGGACCCCAGTCTGGCGTCTTTTGTATCTTAACGTTTTTTTATTCCTGTAATTAACTTTGACAAACTTACCAACAGTATGATGCTGTCGCTGACATTTTTGATGGTCAGGAAGATGCCTTGATACTTTTTTTAACCATTCCCAGGATGTTTAATAGCCGGTTCTTGCACCATCTGCTCCATATGTGAACAATGTTTGTTCCAAAGAAGGCATACTCCAAGTAAAGATTGTACGAACAATAGGTAGTTTGTTTCTGAAAGCACATCCGAATTGATTCTTTCAAAAAACCTTTGCTGTTTCTTTCTCACTCTGGTTTTAATTAATGTTAACTTGGTCTGACCCGATATCTTCCTAAAAGTTGTTAGAAAAAACTTTCTATGCCTCTTGTCGTCCATTATTTCCACCCAAGCCCCTATTCATCTCTTAATTAATAGTAGGGTCTAAAGTTACCAGACTGTTTACTACTTTTTCCAAATATAAACAATTATTACATTTTCTAATATCTAACTTGCATAAGTATAATCTTATGACTTACAAAAATTCGACTCAATACATACTAAATTTCTATGTGCTTATTTTTCTCCTAAGGTTTTTTTTTTATAGAAATAAAAAAACACCCTGAGGAGGAAAACAAGCCAGATAGATCACCTTTGCTGCTTCACTTTTTTCTGTTGTTTATTGCCTTGCCTCAGTTTAGATTGACACCCTTTTTTGATGCTTACAGGTGGTTCATACTATCTCCAGTTCCTCAAATAAGTCCAGGGTGCATAAATATGTTTGTAAGACACTGTTTTAACACATATTTGTTAACTTATTATTTTTAATTTTTCTTTTTTTCAGAACAAAGAGATTGAAGAGTTGACAAAGATCTGTGACGAACTGATTGCCAAAATGGGGAAGAGTTAGCAGCTTCATCGCAAACCAGGAGTCGTATGAACATGAAGTTGATCACTGTTGCGAGAATCAATGGACGTCTAAGGCCAAAGAGGTCTCTGGGTTTCACTTCTTACTGAGTCTCCAGAAATATGACCTCCTTTTAATACTCTGTACATTTTTGATGTGTCAGTGTACCGTACTGTAGCCTATCAGGGGTGTGGTTCAAAGTTTTAGAAAATCTATCATATCAGTGATGAGTGTTGTGTGTGCGTGACTGTGTGTGCGGTGATGAAAAAGCGAAAGGATTATTGTGTGTTTATGATGTTGCCATGACATCCACTGAGGGAGAAGACTGTTTACCTGTTCCTGTTAGTTTCACCTCTTGATGCAAGATTAAGGTAGATTTTGAAAAACAAAAATAAGCCACAGATGTTTAAATTAATTTGTACAGTCTTGAAACACTTAGAACATGACCCAAACCATCACAATAGACTTGCATGTAAGAGAGAAGGAAAACCTTGTAATGTTGTTGTTTGTATATAGTGTACTGTGGAATATCCAAGTATAAAACAAGAACTGTCTGCATTTTGATATAGTTTCTCTGTCACCCTCATCCTGCTGCTTTCATCTAAGCATTATCTATCATACTTATCATAGATTTTTTTGTTAAATTGTTGGACTTTTATTTTATTTTGGGGGAATTTAATTTTGATATTAAAGCAAACTAATTGTGTCTGTTAAGTTGTGAGCAGGAGCGTTTTTATTTTTATTTTGGACGCCTCTGTCTTGCAGTGATAATTTTTCACTGAGGAATGTTTTATCCTCTTCACAGCTACTGTACAGCATCAGCTTTCAAAGTGCAATAAAAGATGGCAATACAGCTCAAGGTTCTCTCTGTTTCTTTTTCTATATGTAACTAAAATGTACAATTAGGACACAAAACTTCAAATATTTTATATTCGGTGACTTGTTTCATACAGTGACTTGAGAGACTCTCATACAGATACATTTTATTATGTTTAGGATTTATTGTTCCTTTTAGAAATTCTGCTGATGAGCAACAGATAATTCATGTATTATAGTGGCAAAATCTGATAATAATGAGAGATATGTCCTTTTATCAAAGGGTGAAAATAAGTACCCTATTAAGAATTTTTGCTCAGCTTTTGTATCATTTAAAAATCCCTCTTGAATGAATTAAGCATTTTCACAATCTATACTTTTTCTCTTAAAGTTCATTTCCATGTCATTCTGTAATTTCATAACTTAATGCTTCACCTATTCCCACTTATACTTTGTTGATAAAAAAAACAAGCAAAGCATTTCACCAATCTGTTCTATAGCTGCCAAATTTTATTAGTCTCATGGTTGAGGTGAACCGAAATGTTTGGAACAATTAGCCTCATCTACTGTAAGAACCTTTCATACGAACAAATTCACTCTTAAATCATATGAGTGATTCAGGATGAAATGTTGCATTCACCATTTTCCTCCTATTTCTAATCCTCTCTCAGGTAAGAACACTTAACGCTCCGGACTTGACTCAGGAGTCTTGCACTATCAGTCAGTTTTTGTCCAAACCTTGTGTTTTACTAAATTACTTGTTTTTCTTAGAGGCAATTGTACATTTGCTCTTGAGCTCAGTAATTATAAAATATTATACTCTAAAGACAGAAGAATTGATCACTACTCCTCCAGCTGGCATGTCTGTATTCAGGGGACACTAATTTAAGCTGTTGTCCGTTTTCATCAGAACAAAAAATCTTCCCCTTCCTAAACATTCTTTTTGACTTTACATCCATATCTTATATTTCAAAACGTAGCTTTTTGTTATTTAAAATATTCTAAAGTTCCTTTTTTAAATGGTGTTATTGGCTTTCTACATGCATCAGATGCTGCCCAGTGCACAAAGATAATCAACTTTTTACAAAGTCAAACAACAAACCTCAAGTGGCTTTAAGTTCAGCCCAAGAACAGTGTGTAAAGAGCTTAATTGAATGAGTTTTCATGGGAGAGCTGCTGCATCCAAGTCATACATCAATCACAAATGGTAGGCTTCGGATGTGGTGATGTAACACCCGGCTCTACTGGATTCTAGAGCAGTGAAGGCACATTCTCTGCTGGGAATAATCTTGATTCTCCATTTGGTAATCCAGTGGATGAGTTGAGGTTTGATTGGTATGAGAAAAACTACTGACTCCCACACATTATTTTATTTTTTTCTTAATGAAGATCTACCTGTTGTTTAAAACTGGAAATATCTACTTAGTTTTTTTTTAAGTACGTAAGGAAAGGCTATGTGAAGTATCGATACTGGAGGTGACTCTGGTTCAAACTGCAAGGAAAAATGTATAAATAAAAATGATGAAATGATTTGGCAAAGCTAGGAGGGAGCTGTTCATCCACTGCTTAGGCAGGAGCAGATATTGGATTAAGTACCAAGATTAACTTTGGAAGGCTTAGAGAGCAAACAACCTGCTTTTCATTGTGTGATAAGGAGGAGCAAGGACCGGTAGCACCATGAGAACTGTCCACTACTCTCTGCTGTTGTTGGTTTTCGTGGTCCGGTTGCCAACTTACAGTAAGAAATATTCTTCTTCAATTTCATTCTTTTTTTAACATATTGTTTTTGGTATTTGTTTAAATAATAGCTGAAAATGTCTCCACCTGTTATTTTACCACTTCTAATCAGACAGCCTTTCTTCTGCCTTTGCTTCTCTGTACTTTTGTTCCCTTTACATGTTGATGTTGGTAAAACTATATGAATATTTATTTAATTTCTTGGAAAAGTACTATTTTTTAAAGTATAAAAAAATGTATCAAACACAAAAACATATATATATGATATTTGTATCCTTATTTGTTATTTTGATTAGAGTATATATTGCAATTGTAGTAACTGCATTGTTCCTTCCATTTCATCATCTTTTCCTAACAGGCTGCAGTCAAATCAGCTAATCTCTTAACAGGCCTGGAGACTAATACTTTTAGCATGTGTGGAAAGCGGCCGTGCAGTGGCATTAGATTGGGGTCAACAACCCTCAGTGGGGGATGTTTAATGCTAGTCCAAAACACAGATGATCATTGATAAGCTGCAAAATAAACAAGCATCCGGAAAATAACCTTAAAAGATAAAATCTATGTTTCTTGCTTGTTGTTTGATCATACTGTTGGAAGTTGTACATTTTGTCTTATAGTGAGTCTGATCGCACAGTGACAGAGTTGACCTGCTGGTTTGATCTGTCCCATCTCTCTGAACTAAATCTGTACGAGGACAAAGCTGCATATGTGTCTGAGAGACACGTTTGAGGTTAAAGGAGTGACTTACACTGTGAAATGCAAGAAATGTGCTGCTACTAAGAATGTTGGAAGCTTTTAGTGCCTCTGGCTCTGATCCTCTTATGAAGCAGCATTCAAGACTGTCTGTCTGGAATATACAGGTGCTGGTCATAAAATTAGAATATCATGAAAAAGTAGATTGATTTCAGTAATTCCATTTAAAAAGTGAAACTTGTATATTATATTCATACATTACATACAAACTCATATATTTCAGATGTTTATTTTGTTTAATTTTGATGATTACAAATGACAACAAATGAAAATCTCAAATTCATCATATCAGAAAATTAGAATATTGTGAAAAGGTTCAAAATTGATGGCCCCTGGTGCCACACTCTAATCAGCTAATTAACTCAAACCACCTGCAAAAGCCTTTAAATGGTCTTTCAGTCTAGTTCTATAGGCTACACAATCATGGGGAAGACTGCTGACTTGACAGTTGTCCAAAAGACGACCATCGACACCTTGCACAAGGAGGGCAAGACACAAAAGGTCATCGCTAAAGAGGCTGGCTGTTCACAGAGCTCAGTGTCCAAGCACATTAATAGAGAGGCGAAGGGAAGGAAAAGATGTGGTCGAAAAAAGTGTACAAGCAAGAGAGATAACCGCACCCTGGAGAGGATTGTGAAACAAAACCCATTCAAAAATGTGGGGGAGATTCACAAAGAGTGGACTGCAGCTGGAGTGAGTGCTTCAAGAACCACCACACACAGACGTATGAAAGACATGGGTTTCTGCTGTCGCATTCCTTGTGTCAAGCCACTCTTGAACCACAGACAGCGTCAGAAGCGTCTTGCCTGGGCTAAAGAGAAACAGGACCAAAGTCATGTTCTCTGATGAAAGTAAATTTTGCATTTCCTTTGGAAATCAAGGTCCCAGAGTCTGGAGGAAAAGAAGAGAGGCACTTCATCCACGTTGCTTGAAGTCCAGTGTAAAGTTTCCACAGTCAGTGATGGTTTGGGGTGCCATGTCATCTGCTGGTGTTGGTCCATTGTGTTTTCTGAGGTCCAGGGTCAACGCAGCCACATACCAGGAAGTTTTAGAGCACTTCATGCTTCCTGCAGCTGACCAACTTTTTGGAGATGCAGATTTCATTTTCCAACAGGACTTGGCACCTGCACACAGTGCCAAAGCTACCAGTACCTGGTTGAAGGACCATGGTATCCCTGTTCTTAATTGGCCAGCAAACTCTCCTGACCTTAACCCCATAGAAAATCTATGGGGTATTGTGAAGAAGAAGATGCAATACACCAGACCCAACAATTCAGAAGAGCTAAAAGCCACTATTAGAGCAACCTGGGCTATCATAACACCTGAGCAGTGCCACAGACTGATCGACTCCATGCCACGCCGCATTGCTGCAGTAATACAGGCCAAAGGAGGCCCAACTAAATACTGAGTGCTGTACATGCTCATACTTTTCATGTTCATACTTTTCAGTTGGCCAACATTTCTATAAATCCTTTGTTTTTATTGGTCTTCAGTAATATTCTAATTTTCTGATATGATGAATTTGAGATTTTCATTTGTTGTCATTTGTAATCATCAACATTAAACAAAATAAACATCTGAAATATATGAGTTTGTATGTAATGTATGAATATAATATACAAGTTTCACTTTTTAAATGGAATTACTGAAATCAATCTACTTTTTCATGATATTCTAATTTTATGACCAGCACCTGTAAGGGAAGGGATGTAGGGTTTTAAAAGGAAGTGTTTAAATCTATAGCATTTCAAAGGTCAGTTCAATAGCTGCTTCTCAGAATAAGAAATTGGATGCTATTTAAGTGTTTTATGTGCAAAGACTGGTTCTTTAAAAAAGTATTTTTATCACAGGAACATAACTGTTGTAACTTTGTGGTAGATTTAGAAAGATTTGTGTGAGGGAAGGGATTAATTAATACTGTCTCCTCTCTTTAGTCTCACTGCTTGCATGCCCAGACGCATCAAACACTTTCTGTCGGAATAAAGGATGGAGGTATCGCGTTGGGGAAATTTATTTGGTCACGGTTTACATCTGCTTTGGAGTAAACTCTCCTTTTCTGCAGCTTTAAGAGTTTCTGGGCCATGTCCTGGATACTATGTTAACTACAAGAGAAAAATGGCTACCAGCAGATGTTCTCTGTAAAATTATCCAATCAATCCTAACTTTAGAGACTGTTGAGGGAAAAGTGCAGTTAAATTGTTATACAGACAGTTCAAACAGTAGTTTAAAGATAAAGTATATTTTATTCAAACAGGTGATAGTTAATTACCTACAATTTTAAACTATCTCTGTGTTTTAGTTTTGTATAAGTCTAGATTAGTTATTCCTGGGTGAAACAATAACCAGCAGCCCTAAAGCCTGGGTGTCTTTGAAAGCTACCATCCTGCAACTTTTGGGTGCCCCTCTGCTACAGTAGCACGGATGTAGGCTATATTCTTTGATCAGCTCTTAAGAGGCCTGGTAATGAACCATTAATTTGGTTCAGGTGTGTTGAAACAAGGCATCTAGAATTTGAAGGGTGGTAGCTAGGACTAGACCTCTGCACTAACATGA